AGGTATCTGTATGAATATGTATATGGGTGGGCGGGTGGGTAGATGAGTTTGTAGTATGTGTGTGGCTGATATACCTTCTTTCATATAAAGCTTCTGGTTTTTTTTAAAAAAAACAGAGGTAACTATCTGGTGTACCATTCTAAAAACACACCGTGATCTGGCAGTGGTCTGTTTGTTGAGCACAAACCCTTTGTTTCAAGGCATTTACAGCAGAAGATATTCCCCTTACAGGAGCATTTTTTTAAAGGATGCCAGTTCCAGAAGAGTTGGGCGCTTGTTGCAGTGGTATAACTAGGGTGGGGTGAGCAGGGCACCAGCCTAGGACTTCCATGGCTGAGACTCCCCGGGGCACCTGAATTGCCTCCATGGAGTTATAGCCACGGAGGGGGCAGCCCTATGCTGCCCCTGCTCATCCATAGCAACCAGACAGGGCAGCACTACACCAAATACTGCATGTGGGGGGTGGGGCAGGGCAGGGTGTGAGTTGAGTCAGCAGAATGGTGCTGCCCCTTCCCAGAGAGTCTTTGCACATCCCGGCACCCAATATGTATGTATCATGGTTAGGGGGGGAGCAAACAGGGACACCAGGGTTGGCTACTAGGGAGCCCAAACACAGGGCTGCTGCTGGCAGAGCAGAGCTCCTTCTGCTACAGCAGCAGTGGCAGTAGTAGCCCAAAAGCAATAGCTTTTCCCCTTGTCCATGTCCCCCACTGCTGCCTGCTTACAGTGTTTGGCATACCCTGCATCCCCCCAGCCCCAGCCATGGTGCTCAGTGAGCTTGCTACACCTCTGCCTTGTCGAGCTAGTTTTGTGGCATTATCCAGCCTTTCCATGTATGCTGTAGAATTACCTTTGTCAAAGTTGTTTAAGACTTCTGTGCAAATTGCAATCATTACTTTATGCTCCCAAACCAGGCATTTTACCACTTCTTGGTTTTCAGAGCACTTCACGTTTGACGCCTACCGTATAAAGATGGGTTAGAGTACAGTATACATTGTGGATAATTTTTTAGCTAAATTGTCCTGGCACAAAGATCCACTGAGCTATTATAGATGCTTGTAATGCAATAGCAACCTGCATATGTGATAATTTAATGGAGTTTTTGTGCTAAATTATTTTCATATTTTGAGAACAAAGGATATCTTGGCCCTAAAATCTGACAAGACAATATTCATTTTGTCTTTGGCTTTAATACAGCCAGAATTTCACTCAAATATCTTGTTTTTGATAGTTCCTTAAATGCCCAATTATTGATATCATTATAATTGTGTTGAATATGTCCTAGTTCAGTATCTTTAAAAATATTAACTAGTTGTGATTAATACTTGGGTTCCTCAGAGTACACAAAGATAGGTTCTTTTCCTTCATATATAAAAGGCCTTGCTTTTTAATAATTTGTGTCTATCCAAAACACATAAGGAGTATTGTCCATGTAAGATAAATATGTAAGTAAAAGGGGCAAATGGAAGTAAATTCAATTTAGAAGTACAGTCTCTTCTTTAATGGGAGGTTTTGTCTTTACTTCTTATATCCAGTTCACAGGAATGTCTTTTTTTAGCTTGCAAATACCAGATTTTCTTTTGTGGAACTATTTCGGTATTGAAACTAATTTTTAGGGTAGTTATCATTGAAATCATAGTATCTTTGTAGAAAAACTACATTAAACCACTAAGTACAGTATGGAAAACATGTCAGTTTTATATGTAGTTTATAATTATCTAAAATTATATTTGAATTTTTGATGATCACTTTCCGTCCTTAACAATGCAGGGCATAAATGCTTCTGTTAACTCTTTGGTGCAAGGCAAGTTGAGGTAGTCTTTTGCTAAGTCGTGGATAGGTGCTGCATTTCCAGCAAGACATACTCCCTTTTAGCACCCAAAAAGAGAGTGTACAGGTGTTCAAGTGGTTTGTGAGGAGAATACTGTGGTGACTCCACTACCGAGTGGTATCTGTTTTGAACAGCAACTTCTCTGGAGAGAGGAGTTTCCTAGTCCCAATTATAACACCTTTACAGTCACCTTTTTCATCCCCTTCCTTTCCACTCCCCCCCCCCTCCCCCCAACTGCGCCATCTGGGGCAGAGTAGTCAGGGTGAGGGAATGGGGTTGGGGTTAGTGTTACAGTAAGGAAATTTCTAGTGCCACTTCAAAAGCCCTGGCAAGAACTGGGTTTCAGACTGTGGCAGCACGAAGGGTGGTAGATTTGAGGAGAGCAGAGCAGTTCTCAACCCTGCCCCTCTGCAGGGCAGAGGGATGTCCTTGGCAGTTGCTGCTTTTCAGTAGGTGCCAGCTGATCACTGACAGCCAGCCCCCCTACCCTGGTCCAAGGGGAACCCAAGGAGCAGCCCCCTATTGCCCTGTTTGAAGATCTCACCTTTGAGGTGAATGTGTAACTCTGCAGCCGGGGCTCTGGACCACCTGTATGCTCCCCTTCTCAACATGTTTTCTCAGAACTTTCTTGGTGCTGCAGTTGAACACCTGTCCAGAGACTTAGTTTCCAGTGCAATAACGAATGAAAATCATGAGAGGAAATCACGAATCCTGTCACCCGAGCTGATGGGATTTCCTTCTGCATTCTAAAAACTAGCTCCTACCTTGTGTTGGGGCAGCTTTGCTCTTTTCCTCTATACAGAGCCATCCTAGGAGCAGCAAGTCCAGCCCCGCATGAACCAGTATAAGTGATTGGAAACAGGCTTAAACCTGTAACAGAACATAAGTTCAGAACACATAAGCTGGTTTCAAAATGGCCAAACCCAGTTTAAGATAAACCTGGATGGAAGTAGTATCAGGTTTGACTGATTTAGGTTAAACTGATCTATTGAACGTCTCAGATCCCCTCCTGACTCAGGTTAGCTTGCAGTCCTCTACCATCCCAGGATGCTTTGCGGCTCCCTGCAACTCCCTTTCCCTCTCATAGAGCAGCCCAGTGTAACATGACTCACGCTCTGCTGCTCCAGCCCAGTGCCTAACTGGCCTCACCCCTGGGCTGTCACAGACCTGCCCGCACAGCTCCTCTGCCCAGCTGCAGCTCCCAGCTCCGGGCAGCACGCAGCCCAGAGCAGGGGTGGGCAGAGGGGCATGGGGAGCCAACATAGATGCTTTCCTCTGGGTCGCACAGTCCTGGCTTGGCCAGAACACTGGTCAGAGGGGTGTGGGGGGCCAACAGGGAGCCATCCCTTAGGATCTGCACAGCCCAGCTTGGCCAGTGTGCAGCCCAGAGCTAGGGTGGGGCATGGGGAGACCCAACACGAATACTTCTCTCAGGGTCCATATTGATTCCCCCTGCCAGCTCCGGGCTTGCTGCTGGGTGAGCCAGGGCTTTGCAAACCCTAAGGTAAGTGTCCATTAGGGCTGTTCAAAGCTTCACGTGCTGATTCGATTCAGAGGAGAGTCAGCCTGATTCGGTGGCTGAATCTCTGAATCAAATCAGGGGACCAATTAAAAGGTCTGAATCGATTCTAAGCTCTCCGAATTGATTCAAAAAAGATTTGGAGAGCTTCAGCAATTTGGGCAGTCCCCCGCTGGCTGCAGCAGGGATCTAGACTCAGACTCCATGCTGGTAAGTAGGGGACAAAGAAGGGGAGGCTTGTGGAAGGGGGAGGCAGAAGACAAGTAAAT